TTTGCTGATTTGTTTAATGTTTTAAACATTGTAAGTTTGTCTTTTGTTTCCTATGAAGTGTGATCTGTTGGAATTTCAGCAGTTTCATTGAAACAGTAGATGTATATGTATCTATTCATTGCTTTTGGTAAATCAAGCTTAAGGAGGGAATGTTTAGATTAGATATCAAGGGGAAATTTTTCACAGAGAAAGTGGTGAGGTGGTGGAACAGAGAGGCTGTGGATGCTCTGTCCATGGAGATGTTCAAGGTTGGATGGGACCCTGGGCAACCTGGCCTAGTACCAGATCTGGAGGTTGACAGCCCTCCCTGTGCCAGGGGGATTGGACGTTGATGATCCTTGAGGTCCCTTCCCACCCAAAACAATGATTCTGTAATTCTCTGATTAACTCCCTTACCAGTTCTTAACACTTTATATTAAAGCAGTATGTGTATTTGCTGTAATGTTATGATCTCTTCCTGCTTCATTCAAAACTAAACAACATAATTTCAAAGTCATGACTAGCAACTTCAGACATTCAGAGTGGTCTTAAATCTACATTATTTCAAAGGTATTAGAAAATAATTGATTCTTATTGATGCTACATGATGTCATGTTTACTTCTCTCTGGAAAGTATAAGTAAAACAATTTCACCTACATTTAAATATTGTTTATCAATATTTTGGAATATCCCACACTTAAGGCATGCTGAGCAGTAGGAAACTACAAACCATTTCCTTCAATCATTGTTTTATTCTTTCCCATAACATACTGGTTTTTATGTTTGAAATACCAGAAGGATGCAAAATAGTCTCTCGACTCTTTGTCTACCAACTTTGTTGGTGTTATATAATTGTGAAAGTGTTGAACAAAGAAGTGGAGTAGATGATGAATGATCTGAAAAACTGTTTTTCTTTACAGATTCTGATTCTAAACTCTGTCAGATTCATAGCTGTAGTATTCAGCGTTGTTTTAATTTATCTGGAATAAAAGGAATGATAAAAAGGAAAGAGCAGTGAGCGTGTTTCCACAGAAACACATTATGCTCTCAGCCAAAACTAAGTGCTGACCTTGTATTCTGAAAGATGGTTTTGAAGAAAACTTGCTTGCTGATCATAGAATCATAGAGTTTCCTTACATAAATCATTCTTCTTGCAAAAGTATAGAAATACTTCACGTAGAAATCAGTACTCCAGATTCTTTCCTAAAATCCAGTCCCACCCTTTTGCCACAACCATCAGACTGTACTTACTTTCATAAATCCTTGCTTCAGAAAGCAGTGTTACTGTGCTTAACTCATGATCCTGTTAGGGACTGGATATATAGAGTTTTTTTTGTAAATATTACTCTATTCAAGAGAAGTAATATCAGATTGTTTATGTAAGAATGCATAAAAATCATTATGAAAGCTATCAGCAGTCTTTCTTCAGCAAAATACTGTCATCCAGTTTTCTCAGAATGAGTTCTTTAAAATCCATTCTGTTTATGTATTTGCAGCCTGTTAATATTAAAGAGCTGTACCATGATTATGAAATCCATTTATGACTGAATATTTTTCACTTTGGGAGCAAAAAGAGGTCATTTCACCATCTAGAAAATTGCAATACATTTTTCTGTCCTATATTCTTAATCTCCAGTTATATAAAAAAAAATATTTATTCCCAATTCATTTTGCATCTGGATCTCTGATTAAGATTGCTCTTGAGCCACTTCCCTGACTGTTTCTGCTTCTCAGTAGTATTTAGGAAGCATTAACTCAAAATTACATTTTTCTTAGTTATCTAGAATGTTGAATTTACTTGATCTAGTAGGGACAAGTTTTAGGCTAGTGGAGAACTATCAGTTGGATATGTTCAACACAGGTTTATTTTAGCAAATGTGTACATGTCAAGCTTTTTATTTTCACAAATAGGAAGCTTACGTATCTAAATACAAGGTTAACTCAGACAGAAAAGTATTAAGATTCTATCTTCTGCAAGATAGATTAAAGATCAGTTCCATTCTAAGTAATACTTTGAAATTTAGAAACATCAGACTTCAGACAAGGGCAGAGAATGAGGGTGAAAATTCCCTCTTTACAACTGTTGATTCCTTCTCTTCTCTCAGAATTTTGATGTCTTTTCCAGTGGTTGCATGATATCTCTTCTTTTTTCTTGATTATATATTTTTTAAACAAAGCGGAACAAAACATTTGTATCACTTTCTTTGGCCATGAAAGACTATAACAAATATAAAAATGTGTCAGCATGGGAACAGAAGATGAAAAAGTCTGTTTGAATTCATATACAGTCAAGCCCCAAGTGATAGGGTAAGAAACACATTCTCATTTAGAAGCTACAGAGGGAAAGACATGCCAATATGGTCAGACATGGCTGTTAATATATAGGGTTTGGTATGTAGCTCAGCTGAGTTTCCAAAAGTCTGTGCAAAGCAGATTTTTATAATTAATTTTGTTGTTTATTTTTTTTTTAATTAATCAAATACTGTAGATTAATTGGCTTTCATTCTAGAAGATGAAGAAGCTTTATTTCATAACTTCGAGTGGGGAAACATTGCCTGATACAGTTATGCAAGCTGTGAAATTGCTGGCACACGTGCCTTTTATTTACACATGTATGTACTTTTCCAAATTCATGTGTAGGTTGGAAACTCAATGTAAAGCTAATGTACATCCACATCATTACTTTCACTGCTGCACAGTGGACAGAGCATATAAAAATAATGAGAAATGGTTCACTATTTAGCAAACTTGATTGTTCTTGTACTTACTGAAAGAAGACATTCAGAATTTTTCTTATATGCAGAATAAACTTTCAGCTACATCATAACATTTGTGTATTTGGTCCCTTACTCATGCAGCCAGTGATTTAAGGAGTCACTTCCTGCAATAACGTACTTCCCTAAGTTACTGCTCATTTACCTTCTCAGTGCTGGTTTGTTATTATTTCCCCGTTCTTTGTATTTTGTTTGATCTGCATCTTTTTTTCTAGTCAATACATGTAGCCATTTTTGTAGATAAAATTAAGAAAAAATTAGTTTATTTAATTCATTTCTTCACTCTTTCATTCTTATTTTGGTTAAGCTGACTTGTGAATTTGTGTAAAAAAAGTAAAATGAGCCATGTATTTTTATGACTTCAGTGTCTGGATATTAAAGTATGATAGATTTCAGTTCTGTTTTCATTCTGGAATTCCAATTTACTGAGTTCTGAATTTGTACCTACAAAAATTTCCTCAAGCTCCTTCAGGAAACAGTTGCTTTATGTATCTGAAAATGTCTTCATGCACATGAATACAAACACTCAATGTGTTGTCAGCATAATCAGTTAGGCCCTGGGACATTTATGTGGATGGTGAAGTCATCTTGCTAGTCTTTCAAACCTAATGCTGTTATAGCATGCTAATCAGGACCATTCAGCGAACAACGGACAAAACTTTTAACTAGATGTCAGATGCTGCTCCTGTTTCTGCTTTGCAAAGCCGTTCAGACTCTTGTCTTTCAGGGGTTGACTGTAAGGGCAGAATTGGAAAGTATTGAAAGTTCAGAGTGATGCATGAACTAGAACGTTGCATGACTGATGAACTTGACAGGTCTAGAGCTTACAGAAATCATAATATCAATCACCGAGTGCCAGAAGCCATTGAAATAAAGAAGTGCTAACTCATGCAGTAAAACTTCTGCAGGTTTCTTAAGAATATAGAAATTGATAACCAATAAAACAAAATTGTGACTCCATGACTCTATCTAGTAACTTGGAAAGAAGAATTTGGTGTAGATTAATATGAAATGCTTTAAATTATTAATTATACAGTAAAAAATAAATCAAAATTATTTTTAATCCTGTTCCCAGAGTAGGCAGACAAAATCATGGAAGGAATCCCTACACAGCCTACAACAGTATGCTTTCAAATTATAGTAGATTTTTTTTTCTGTAGTCTATAACAGCTGCACTAATTTTACGATCTTCAGTTGTAAACATTGTTTAGTTAGCCATGATGAGAGTTGTTGGAAGGTAATTCACATATGCAGTATAACACAGTTACCACAGACATTATGAAGTAATTATTTGATTTAGCATGTTTGCTAGTATCTTCTGGTGGCAAGATACTGGCAGGGTGGGCTGTTTTTTGAAATTTACTTTACCTTGCATGCAGCCATTCATTTGTTTCATATGGGTGGCTTACTAACAAAAAGCTTGAGGCAGAGCCAGTAAGAAATCTGAATCACAGCAATAATGACAATATTTTGATGTAGCCTCCATTCTGGGAGAAGGAATAAATATGGTATGTCTTGGCACTAGTAAGGCTTTTGATATAATGTTTTTATAAATGAAGTGGAGAATTACGGCCTACATAATTACCTGCATATTAAAATATACAACCAGTGAAAACCAGACTGGAAAAAATGAAAAGGGACATGGGAACAGCCTTCAGCTGTGGAATTATGTGAAGGCATGAGATAAATAAAGCATTTCTAATTGTAACACATTATCTGAGGATATGGTAGAAACCATTGCATGACCATTTTGGATTAGCAGTCTTCCAAAGTCTATCGATACATGTACTTATTCCAACTTCAAAGTAGGGAGCTAAGTTAAATGATATTTGAAAGTCCTCTCTAGCCCTGCTTTTCTGTGGGAATACTCTCTTTATTTTTGAATCTTGCACTCACTTTGTGCAAAATTATATAAAGGCTTTTCAGTTCACCTACCTTAAGAGGTGTAGGTTAATTTCAGAGCAGTGTATGGAATTTGAAATTAACTTATATAAGGCTATTTATCAGTTTTCTTACTGTAGAACCAAAACAGATTGTGTTTACATAAAAAGAAACAAAAACACTATATATCGATTCTCATATTATGAAGTTACCTTGCAGTTCATAAAAGTTTATTCTTTCGCTATGCTCATTATGAGGTATAAAACATAAGCAGTGAAGCATAAATAATTCTTCAGTCCTAGAGATGCTTGCAGATACCAGTGGAATTGTGGTAGTATGGTAAATATTCTCTTTATTTTCTACAGAAATGTATTTTCTGCAGACAGAGAGTTAAGAAAACCTCTGGTGCCTGCATTCAATGTTCATATGGACGCTGTCCAGCCTCCTTCCATGTGACCTGTGCCCATGCTGCAGGAGTGCTGATGGAGCCTGATGACTGGCCGTATGTTGTCTACATCACTTGTTTCAGGCATAAGATCAACCAAAATGTGGTAAGGAATTTGTTTAATGATATGTTGCAGAATTAAAATATGTTTTCAGAGAAAATGAAAGAGGGGATCCACATAATGTATAATGGCTTCGTCTGATATATTTCCGGGCATAAAAAAGTATTTCATCTGGAAGGTTTTTTTCTCATTATGTTATCTGGTAGAATACTCAATATGCTAAGAACTTTTTTGCATTAGACTCATTGTTGAATATGTTGTTTTGACAGCAGCATAAGTGTCTGAGTTCTCTGTTTTGTTAGTGTGGAATGTATTGAAAATACCCAGATCATAGTATCTTTCAAATACTCTCAGATATTGAGATGTATATGTAAGTTCTTTGTATCACAGCCAAGCAATGCCACGCAAATATCCAGTTATAATCATTATTTCATCTGGAAAAGCAGCAGTGATATGTCATGAAAATTCATATTATTTCTATATCTTTTTATTTCTAGCCGATGCTGAGGAAGCACTTTTGATTTTAGATGAGAAACAAGAAGAATTAGTTACCACAGTCTCATAGGTTTATTATCTAAAAGATAAATTCTTAATGAATTGTTACTTATTTCAGAGAAATCTTGCAATGTGTCTTGGGCTTTTAAGAGTGTATTTTCTTTCCTAGCAAACTAGAAGAACTTATTGTGATATCATTGAAGAAATAACTTGATACACTGGTGAAGTTGAAAATTCTCAAGTTTCAAACTCTTTATTTTAATATGTACTTAATCTCCTCTATACACTAAAATTGAAATAAACCCAGTTATGTATGTATAATGTATATCTTTCTTTCAAGAGACTGTCAGTGAACCTTTGATCCTAACAAGACTACTGGAACATAAGATCTCCTTTTAAGTATAATAAAATGCCTCCCAACTAGAGTGATGAGCCAGTCCTTAGTTTCAGTCTGCTGATAGTTCATAAAAAGGCAAATGAATCGCATGTCCCTGTTTAAAATCTCCCCAGAAATGTTATGTGTTATAAAGATTTTTGTTTAAAAAAAAAAAAAAAAAAGTAAGCATATAAAGCCAGTACACTTTGCATTGTTATTATGTCTTCATACATTTTTTATAAAAATGAGTTTGGATTAAAACACAAGCAAACTGCAACCTTTATCTGTACTCGTAACTTAAAGCCCTTGGCTTGTTTAGAAAATGTTACTCACTAGTTGAAAATTACTGGACCAAAGCATGGCCAATGAAAATACAGCTGTTCTTCCTAAATGTTTAATTGTATTTCTTTTCAGACACTGGACAATTACTCCAGGTAGTGAGATATTCATCAATAGCTGGGAAGTCATTACTTGATCAAATAAGTTTTTCTACAGTATGCTTTCTTTTGTATCCACTTCATGTATATGTTGTGGCTACTGCTCTAGCCCCTCAGTTTTTCAAACTTCCTGTAATGTATTTGTCTTTTACACTAGCAGACCCTTATTGTCCCCGAAAATGACAAGTTATTTTCTTCACCTATTCTTTTTTATGATACTGAACGTGCTGTTACGGATTATTTCTTCTGTGTATAGTGCTGAACAAGTGGTAAATCTATCCTAAACAGACTTTTTTTTTTTTTTTTTTTTTTTTTTCCTGGTAACTCTATATCCATGCTAGTTATTAATAAAAATACCTACAAGATATTAATGAAAAACATGTAGATCATTTAAGCAAATTTATACTTTCTATCTAATATAAAATATTGCAGGCTTCAGCACTGTTATTTGACTTTTAGCATGCACTTTCCCTAAAAGAGGGGAAAAAAAACTTTAAAACAGCTATTACTTTGAAAGCTTAGAAATTAAGTGCATCCTTGTTCCATTTAACACAATGGTAATAAAGTGGGAGGGATTCCCCCCAGATTCTCAGAGATTTTCAGGATTTGTATTTGGTAGCATGAAACAGAAAAAAAGTGTGAAGAAACAAGATTTTGTGTAGCTGTTTTAAAGTGTTTGTGTGGATGGTATTCAATATTGATTGGAGTGAAACTGAGCTCACCTTTTTGAAAAAAAAATCTTCATTATCTTTTTTCACTTGGCTCAAATCAACGTCAGATGTGCTGAAGAGAAGGAAAAATAGTGTGTGTTTCTTTCTTTGTTTTTCCTTGGACCTGAGTTTGGGAGGACCAAACATTTTGTTAGAGTTTTTCTGTGGTAATCTTCAGTTAGCCATGAATGCAGTGGATTGAGCCTGGCTGGCTGCTTGTTGCCCACCAAACCGCTCTCACTTCACTTCCACAGCAGGGCAAGGAGAGAAAATAGGACGAAACAGCTCATGGGTTGAGATAAGGGCAGGGAGATTGCTCACCAGTTACTGACACAGGCAAAACAGGCTTAGCTTGGGGAAGATTAATTTAAGTTACTGCCAATTACTGACAGCAAAGCAGTGAGAACTAAAAGCAAACTAAAAGCACTTTCCCTCCATCCACACTCTTCTTCCTTACACCCCCCTCCCCGAGCAGTGCAAGGGAATTAGTAGTGGAAGCTGTGGTCAGTCCATAGCATTTTTTCTCTGCTGTTCCTCCATGGTCACACTCTGCTGCAGCTCCACGTGAGATCCCTCTAATGGGTTGCCACCCTTCCTGCACCAATCCATCTACGTGGGCTTCCCACAGGCAGCAGCTGTGATCTGCCGTGGGGCAGCTGCTGGGCTCATCTCACAGAGCCCACCCCAGCAGCCCCCAGTATTAATGTTTTAAGTAAGCTGAATTGCCAATAGACTGTGGCAAAAGTGTCAAGGATTTATTTATGATCGGTTTTTAATTTCTACCTTTTGAATTACCTAGTCATGCCTTTAAGGTTTGGGATTTTCATTATCATTGTTTTTCTTGTTATACCTTTCTTTACTATTAGCTGGTCTTCTGTGCAGACGTTATATTGCTCTTCACTATTAAGTACGACTATGCATCTTTATTCTGGTGTCAGATTTTTGTCTATTTTCATTTCCTTGTTTACAAACAGAACAAAGGACATGCAGATTCACTCTGCAAATTTTTGCAGGAGTCAAATACATCTTCTTTTCAGCAAGGATAAATTTCTCCTTCTATTTAGTAGTTCAAAGCACTCCACATAAAGCAAGGATGCTATTTCTCCCCATTTCAAGGAAACAAAATTACAGTTGTCCAATGTTCCACTAACAAAGCCTCTAGATGTGAATATGTGCCTAAATGCTCAGGGAATATCTTTGATTGCTGTTTTCCTTCAAGTTTAAAAAAGAACAAACAACACAAAACTCAGCAACCAAGAGGAGCAGGAAAAATTGTGGCTTTTATCTATAGCAGTATTTAATGTAAATCAAGGAAGTTGCTCAACAGGAAACTCACAAACTTACTATGTGAGATAAAAATTTATTGTTACAGATATTAATATATCTTTTCACCTCAGGCAAGCACTTATTGCAATGATAAAGTGAAATTTTTATCAAGATAATTTGTTGCTGCAATCTCATACAATTGTGTTGAAATCATTCTTTGATACCTTTTCACAACTCTTTTTCACATTTTCCTTTTGAGTTATCTACAGTTTTTTTTTCCTAGACTGCTCTTTTAATGTCAGCCATGGAAAATACTTGCAAGTCTTCTGGTGAAAAATCATCATAAAGGCAATCAAAAGGAAAAACCTTACTCTTGTATCCAGATAGTGATGTCAAATGAAGTAAATACACACGTTAAGACTTTGATTTTTTTAATATTGAGATGAAGTTTCAAAAATACATTTTTTATATATGCAAATTCAAAACTAAGTATATGTCTTGTATTTGTTGAAGGTACAGCTTTAGAAATGATACAAAGGTCTGCTAGCAGAAAAGCTGTTTAATGCTGAATGGTTTGAATTATTCCTGTTGCACTCTATATTAATTTGTTCTTGTAAATCGGAGTGCAAGTATGCAAATTACAAAGGAGGATCTGTGATTTGCTGCCAAAAGACAGTAGGTCATGTTTTTTGAATTTTCCACAGTCAAACCATGTTTATTTCTGGGCATGAAATGTATCCTTCACATCTTTTGTCATCAGATTACCAGAACACTTGGAACTACAGTTGAGAATAGGTGCTCCACATGGACTTATTTTGATTAAATCTCTATTATGCACAAGACAATGAGAAAAAGACGTTATATGTGGCAATACTGTTGGGAAAAAAAACACTAAAGAATTCATACAGGATTAGCAAAAGCAGCACTGAAGGTCTGAGAAAGTCTGCTGGAAGCAAATGTGTCCATCTGTGATACTTCATTTTGAAAGTGCAATCAGAAGAGGTATATAGGAAGCCTCAGTTACACGCTTGCTTCTGATCTGCTTTAAATTATCATTTGCTATTATTGAACAGTTTTTATCTCTGTAGCATACAGTGAATGAAAGGACACTGTAAAGGGGAAACTGTAGATCCTTTTTCTGTTGAATACATGTGAATACAATGCTACTGTCTGCTAATTGCTGCCAGCATCAACATTTTCAGGAGTCTAGAGGCATGCCATAGAAAAGACAAATGAGTCAAAAATCATGAACTGGCATGTTTTTTGAAATGTCATGCATCATTTCTGTGCCCAAATTGCAGTTCTGAGGAATGAGCAGAAAATGATGATGGGAGGGTTATGTTTCTCATGTTCATGTTTCCTAATTAAATAAATCTTTATTGTATTTGAATAAGAATTGCAAGGATCTTCCACCACAAACTGCAGTCAGGGAGGGTATCTAGATATGTGGATATCCACTAACTAACTATTTCTGGCTAGCTATCCGTTAGTATTCAATATACATCTGTATACATACTTATTTTATTTTACAAGATTTTTCAGTCCTGAAACACAGAAAATTCAGGAGAAAGTCATTTTCCCTCTTATCTTTTTTGAGTTCTGCAGAAAGGAGAGGTTAACTTTTCTTACATTGCATCTCATTGTTTTCTGTATATCTGCTCCTATCTTAGTTCATCCTTGGCTTAGGTACTGTTAAAATCATGCTTTTTAAACCAGCTTTCTCAATAATCTGGTAACTACCACAGCTGTTCCTTTAATCTGATAGACTTACATAACAACTGTCCTTTCTGATCAAAAATAACATTCTTAACATCAATAAATTCTTAGGATTTTCTGACAGGAAATGTTTCCTGGGACATGCAATATGTTGTTGGAGTATGCTTGTCAATATTTTTTCTGGAAAATAATCAAGAATTCTAACAAGATAACTAAACAATAAACTAAAAAAATTATCTCTTTGAGCTGGGATGCATTTCTTTTTCATTCTTATTTTTTCTAATAAGCTTTGACATTCCTCCTCTGAATATTTTTTCACATATAAGCCTGTATTGTCTCTTGACATACTATATTTTTCCAGTCCATTTTCTCAAAATAATTCCATTTTCAAAGTTTAATACATTTAAACCTTGTAATATTTTCCTCAGATTATTGTGGTGTAATCTTAAACTTCTACTTTCAGTTGTTTCATATAGGTGATAGAATTAATACTCTCTGAAATTTCTGATTTTTTTTAAGTAACTGAATAGACTGGAGTCAAGAATTGCTTGGTAAATGAACATTTATGTTTACTTATGTTTCAAGGTTGGATAAGAAATGCTAACTGACATGTTAGCACTCCTGTGGCAACAGCAGTAAATGGTTTATTCCTTCTTCTGCTCCTCTGCAGTTAAACTAAGTAACAGAATTAACTACATAAGTAGCTATGTAAAATGGAAAATCCAGGTAAATTGTTGAATACTTTATATATATGATCAAAACACTATTTTGAAGTAAACTTTAGAAACAGTATTGGATTTTTTTCTCTGAGGGGAGCTCAGCTAAATCCTCCAAATGCTTATGTCAGGCAGAATTCTGACACACAAAGATTTAGTGTGCTGTCTCCAGAAATGGCACAGAATACTCCTATTTGGTTTGTAGAAGCAGAGAAATTTAAAATTTTTAAATCATAGAAACTTGTGCAAGAAAGAGTCATGATTGTGACTACAATCTCCACAGAAGTGGAAGATGTCAGTTATTATTTTTTTTTCTCCAAATGCATTGACACTACTATTAATGTTTGGAGTCTAACAGAAAGAACTGCTGATGTGTTTTGTTCTCCCTTTGATATTAATGCTAAAAAGAGTTTTCCAGATTCTCCAGAGACCCTTTTAGATTTCTATATTTATTGAAGAATCCATTGCCACTGAAGGTTTGAAAAGCAGTTTTAGGTAAATCAGTAGTTATTGTAGCATATGTCATAAGATTTTTTCAATCTCCTTATGTAAGTATTTCTAGTAAAATAAGTGTTTTCTGTATGCTGTTGCATCTGTCCCCTTTGTATCTTCTACTGTAAGAAAAGTTCAACTGGTCATATACAGCTAAGGTCACAATTAGTTTGTCTTGGTTGAAGAATTGGAGCTTTGTAAGTAATGAATAAACAGTCAAAATTGCAGGGAAGAAGCTCTTTCTGTGTTTGACCAGAATGAGAAGCTCTATTAAACAGTGTATTGTGCTCTTTGTGTCGTATTTTCCACGGAAGTAAATAAGAGGCAACCTGCATATTTTTTTCCTGGTGAAGAACATTGCTTTTTAAAGTTCCTGGGTATACTTCAGTTGGAAGTAGATGCTTAACAACTGTCAGCATCATTTGAGCTTCTAAGCGTTTGCTGATTTACAAGGTTCTATTCTTTTATTTATAAAAACCATTAAAAACAGTTATGCTGCAGAATTTTTGCATAATTTATCAGCCCTAACACAGATCTGATTGACATAATTAGTTCTATTGAATGCAAAGTGAAAAATGAGAAAAAATTATTGGTACTGATGTACTAAATGAGTAAATGAAGAGTGATCAGTGCTGTCTAAAGTCTTCAAGCAAATGCTCTACTCCTGTAGACAGCTCTGACATGAGCTGAAGATGCATTACACTTTTTTTTATCCCATTCAGAAAATAGCAAAGTAATTATGAGAAATCATGTCACAGTACAAGACTTAAAAAAACCTTCTAAAACAATGCAAGACCACAGTCTATCTTTGCCGTGCTTCAAGAACTTCAATTAATTAATTAATATTCTTTCTCTACTGTGAAATGGTGAGAAGGTATAAACTGTAAAGATATTTTTGAGCGCTATAATTTGTTATTCTTGAGAAATGAAAACCTTTGTTAAATTTGTATGATCATGACGGTAAGGAGCAATTTTGCATTTAAAGTTTTTTTTTATTGAGTGTTATTTTTCATTCAGTTTTAACATTGGTACAATTCTGATGAGTAAGCTGGTATTTTAAAATTGCTTCTATATCTTTTTTCAAGAGAACTAAAGCATGTGAGAAGACCATTACAGTTGGGCAGACAGTCATCGCAAAACATCGGAATACAAGATACTACAGCTGCAGAGTCATTGGAGTGACATCGCAGCTTTTCTATGAAGTCATGTTTGATGATGGCTCTTTTAGTCGGGATACTTTTCCTGAAGACATCGTGGTAAATACTTTCTTACACAAGGGTTGGTTTGTTTTGCTATTCACCTTTTGTTTTTGAAGATTAGCGAGATGGAACATCTTGAACTACTTCTTTTGACCTTGAGGAGATAATGTTCTAATGTTTGGTTTGTGTTTGTTACTTTTGCTGCTGAGATTGATTCTTTTCTAATGGGCTTCCAAATAGTGGTTGTTCTAATTAGTCTTTGCCATTTGACCAAATGTATCAGAAGTAATCTTACAAAGCCTTTTAATTAAATGAGAAATATGTATTTAATAAAGGAGATGAGAGAGGGAATTCCATGTATCCTTATCTGTCTCTCAGAGATAACTTGTAAAAATTCCTTGCTGAATAGAAAAATCCTGCTGTAATGGGAAGAATAGCTCTCATGAATCAGTTCTAACAACTTGTTTACACCTTCTGATGTTTAGCTTGTGAGATTACATTATTAATGACAAAAATCATCAGGGAGGAGAATGTGTAGTTTACTGCATTTCTAAAAAGCAGTTGAGATTTTTATTTCCCTAATGCACTTATATAAGCTGCCATGTTTTTCAGAACTGTAAAGGACTACACTGTGAACTTAGTGGATCTGAACAGAATTTGCAAACAATTGTGAAAGTACTCCTTTTCCTTCCTCATTTATAATGAGTAGATTGGATGATAACATTTGTTCTGTTCATCAGGTGCTTCATGATGATTGCACTGCAGTATGACTGATCCTCTTTTAACCTTCAAGCATGTCTGAGACTTCTCTATGCTGAGCTTATTTTCTGGTGTATCTCCAGATAAATCTCTGGAAGTTAGAGCCTCCAGGGTACACTGGCTTGCAGAAGTGCTTTGTGTTGCCAAACTGGTTTTACTTTGCCCTGTGCAGAGGTGGAGAGTCTGGCATACACACCAGTGCATAAGAATATATACTTTATTAATATATTTTCCAGAGATACAACCCTTAGCAGGGGTTCCTCTGTGTTCCTTTACTGCAAAGATGTCTTTGAGCTATTCTATTTTTTGTAGGCCTAATGTTTTCCTGGAGGTAGAATTAGCTGACAGATAGCATCAGCGGAAATGATACTGTTGTTGTTAGAAGCTTCACAGTCACTGAAAAGTTGTCTGCCTTTTGAAAATACAGCATTTTGAGAGGGTACATTTCAGAGCAGTATATGGGGATGGAGCTGTTTACCTCCCACTGCTGTTAATAGAAAACAGCAATTCCTCGCTACATGTCTTCGAAAATTTATCCTTTAATTTGAAACACTCTGAAAGGCTCCATTAATGATCAAACTTTGATTTAGGATGATCAAGATATTAAGCAAATGTGGCTGTATTGTTATTAGAAACCCCTCTTTTGTATATGTCTGCATCATGGTATGGCAGAGATGAGAAACTGCTTGCCACCCTAGTGGGGTATTCTGATCTTGAGCTAAGAATAAATGTAATCAGGTCTGGATATGCCTCAGTGCTTCCTAGATAGTGGATGAACAACATATAATTGTTTGATGGAAACACCAAACGAATTTCACATTCCTTAGAGAAATCTTGTTGTGTTTTCATTAGATAATACACCTGCAGCCGTTACTGGAAGGGAGGAAAAAAATGTTTTTTCTTCTGCCTGGACTAAAACTTGCTAATCCATGCAATGTGCGTATCAGGTGTTAGTGCCGCCGGGAGGACTTATTCATCAAATCTGGTGTGAAAGCAATGTTGCTGCCTATTGAAGAACTTATTTTTCTAATCTGTTTTCACTTTTCAACTAGCTCACAAAGATAGCAGCAGCTTTCTGCTTTCCCAGTATATGCTGAATCCTCTACATAATTTCAGCTCAGCTCACAATAGACCACAATTCCAGTGTTCAGACACAGTGATTTATTTTTAAGAAGGAAAACAGGGAGCAGGGAAATTTCAGTCTCAAAGCTTCTTGAAACTGTTTGCATGTAAGCATTCAATAACTTCCAAATCAGGGTGTACTTTGTTCTGTTCTCATATGTATTTTTTACTGTTTGCATTGACATTTACTACATAGATCAGGATATATTAGCTGCAGGTGTCAGATATATAGGTGTAGCAATATAGATTCCTTTTATTTCAAGCTATTGCTTGAAATATTGTACTGTGTTTGATTTCAGCCTTGTCAAAATTTCTGTTAGCACCATTTTGGTGTGCTAAGAAGCCAGCTTTCTCTCTATCTGGTAACTGTTAGAGGGTGCAAAGAAGCGTCTATAGGTACATATTTTCTGTCAGAAACAGAGGGACAGCTTCTTCTTTAAATGACAGAAAGACTGCCGTGAAGGGATAGTGTGTGGTATCTTAAAGGATGTGAGATGGCAGCTGCGGCAGTTACCTTAACCATGCCAACATGCAAGGGGTGAAGTGCATATGCTTCAGTCCTGAGTAACTCCTTCCGAGAAACAACGAGCATGCCACGTGCTACATCTTGAAGGACTGATGTACTCTAGCTTGTCACACAGCTGCTAGTTCAGCAACAGGAGGGATTCTGTCCAGCTCAACAGGACAGATGTCAGTATACCAATTCCGCATCAGGAAGTACCTCAGGTCTTTGGCCTGCTCAATTCTTTTTCATGCCTGATGGCCATATCTTCAGTGGTACAGTGTGGCAATTTGCTGTAAATTAATATTCTCAGTCAGATTTATTTAACTGTTTATTTATTTATTTGCTTTTCTATACATTGTAGCTGTCAGTATCGCTTACTAGCAAATATAACTGTACACACACGTGTGTGTATATATGTAACTTGAAATTAGAGCTAAAGATGCAGTTATTCCTATGTTTTTTATGCAATTGAAATCTCAGCTAAACAAGGAGGCCTTGCAGCATATGTAACTGGGGAAAGAAAGGTTTTGCCAAATTATATTTATTCCAAGGAAGAGAAAAACAAAAAGAGGTTACAGATGAACATGCTTTGCCTAATGGTGACTATGTGAGTATGTCTGATTACAGGAGAGGTGAGCAGATCTCTAATGAAATGCCAAACATTGTTTCCGGCCACTTGCCCAACTAATTACTGTGGTTCTCCAATTGCCATTTTAAACAGAATTGTTTGCTGTCATGGTTTCACCTTGTGGCTGTCAGGCAAACTAGGTGAATAAAAATAAGAGTACTGATTCATCCTGTCTGGTGACGTATCTACACTGTGTTTTAGTTTACCATCAAGTTTATAAATCTAGGGAGTCTCCACACAGATTGTAAGCTGATCTGTGGGTTGTCATGCCTACAACCCGAAATGGACTTTACTGATTAAAAGCAATAAATTGAATACCTTCCTGTTGTGGTTTAATTCTGGGAGGCAGCTAAGCACTGAACAGCCACTCATTCACTGTCCCCACAGGGGACTGGGAAGAGAATTGGAAGGGCAGAAGTGTGAGAAGTCATGGGATGAGATAGTTTACAAAGTAAAGCAAAAGCTGTGTGCGCAAGCAATACAAGCCAAGAAATTAATTCACTGCTACCCACAGGCAGGCAGATAGATACTCAGGCACTTCTAGGGAAGCACGGCTCATCACACGTAAATTTCTTGTGAAGGCAAACACTGTCACAAGCAATATGCCCTCATTCTTCCCTCTGCAGCTCAGCTTTTGTTGCAGAGCTTGGCATTGGGTGGTATGGTGTATCCACTTGGTCAGTTTGGGCCTGCTGTCCTGGCTGTGTCTCCTCCCAACTTCTTGTGCAGCTCCAGCATTCTGGCATGAAGAAGAGCATAAGAAGTGGAAACGTCCTTGAGTCTATGGAAGCTTGGCTCCTATGGAAGCAGCTCTTACGTGGCTGTGTGATCAGCACTGTTTCCATAAAAAATCCAAAGGAGAACATCATATGAGCCTCTGTGACAAAAATGATCTCTGCCAGCCAAAAGCCCGACACATACTAAATGCTCTTTCAGCTGATGGAATGTTGCTGTAAATGTTCATTATCATGCAACAGCATCTTGAGGGATGTGGAAGAGAAGTGTGTATGATTAGGTGTTAGGAGATAGATATTCAGGAGTCCATGCGTTTGTTTTTCAGACCATGTTATGATGGTTTCCTCGGGTCTTGATAGAATGCCATAATTTTACTTAGAAAAAATTGTTGACATGTAGATTAAAACAGCATCTATACTGCACCTGTCAAAAGCAGGAACAAGGAAGTTTTGCATAACAAGTAGCTTGATTTGTGTGTTTTGGGTCTGACACTGTTTTCTGACACACCCACAATGGTACGTGGCAACCTTAACCTTAATCAGCAGAATTGCGCTGATGCTAATTGAAGTATCTTCTTTCAGTACTGCATCCAAGAGAGCCTTTGCCATCAGGACAGTGTAGATTACGCTCTATCTTTTTGTGTCTGTGAATACTGTAAAATCACTATTATCAGAAAAGGGAGGAATAGGACTATTTGGAACTCTGACAGCTGAAATACATCACTGAAATTATCAAGAAGGATACGACATTTCACAGTGTGCACCTGAATTTCACAGAACCCTAAATTATTATCTTCTCCTTTCTTTGTAATTAATTTGAGCTCATTTTAGTTACTAGTATTTGTAGGCAGACCTACCAGAATCATATCAGTGTAATTTAAGAAAAGCCTTTTCTCAGTCAGACTTTCTTTGCAATTCTCTACCTCAGTCCCTGCTGACAAATGCTCAATTTATACCTCTACAAAATTAAGAAAACTTCAGTAACTCATGACTCACACTCCAGTGTATACATATACGGTGAGCATAGGCTTGCCAATTATCCCTTCTTTCTTGCTGAATACAGACTTACTGATATTCTGAATGATCCTTTCTAGCTTATATGTCTTCCCGAGATCAGAAGCCACATAGGCATCTATTATCTTGGAAGTTGTCCAATACGAAGTGAACTGATTGCAGCATAGGTATAGGGGTAAGAATACAAATTGTCCTGAGGGTACTATTGTAAGGCTGCTGAGAGACAGAACAAATTTGCTTCATCCTCCTTTGAGATACAGAACCAATGGGATTTAGCTGGGCAGCTCCTCAGAAA